CCGCCAACGCAAACCAACAAAAAGAACAGGTAGGGGAAATTCTAATCTACACAATTGTGTTTTTGATTTGTGAATGTAGGTTTCGGTTCGCGAGAAAATGGCCTCACAAGGTTTGTTTACACAATTGAGTTGAGGCCTTTTCAATTGTTGATCTTGATATCATGTAAAGTTCTGACACATTTCATGCAATGCAGCACATATTGTGTACAAAAGTCCATCTTTGTAAACAACATTGTTTGCAAGTTGCTCGGTTGCGTGAAATGAAACATAAGTCTACGTGAATGAATGTTTACATCACAATTAAAATCCAGAATTTTTATCTGTGTGGCTCATATAAATAAACCAATCGTTCTAAATATTTCAAATTTGACAGGTTATATTGGTTTGTTTACTCTTTAGAGAGGTTCAGAACAATAAAAAACAGATCATACTGTCAAAAATGAATGATAAAATTAGATCATGGATTGGTCTATTATAAACAACACGCGATGTAAACATTCTTGGAAGTGGTGCCAGAAATGATAAAAATTATCTTTTATGTGGTGGCAGCCTGCATGACAAGGTGTTTGGAGTGTTTCACAGTTTGTTTTTGTGGGTGTTAACACAAGGTGGCAGAGTGACTTACCCCCTGAGTTACCCTTTATCTTGAAACTGCCATTTTTCTAAAGTTCATGAAACTTTTCAAAAGTTCTCGGATAATCCCTATCGTCTAGACGTTCAATGCAGTTCCCAGAGTTTTCTTGAAGTTCTCCAGATATTTCATTAACTTTCCTGGAGTTATTTGGATTTCCATGAAATTTCCGGAACTTTCCGAAGGTTCCCACTATTTTCCTGAAATAAGATCGAAATAAATAATGTAGTTCTTAGATTTTCAATGAAGTGCTCGATTTTTTTCTGAAGTTAATGGGGCCTCCCTTAGCTCAGTTACAGCTATAAAGCAAGACCATGCTGGAGGTGGCTGAGTTCGATTCCCGGTCTGGTCTAGGAATTTTTCGAGTTAAAAAATTTCAAAGAATCATCAAAGAAGAAAAATAAGGAACTGCCCTTAAATTATCGAAACTAATTCTCAAAACTTCCCCAACATTCTAGACTTTCCTGATGTTTAACGTACTTCTCTGATGTTATTAGAACTCTTTAAAAGTTCTCGCAATTTCTCATAATTTTTCTGAAGTTTTTAAATCTTCTTTCAATCTCTCAGAGCTTCCTAGAAATATTTTATTCTACCTGAACTTTTCTTGACTTCCCTTACGTTGTATTTCCATTGGAACCACCATTAAGATCTCTGATAAACCCTTAAGGCTTCTAGCTCTAGGTTCTCCGAACTACTTGGTACTTTTTGAAAGATTCAACCATTTTCTTCTAGTAATTTTAACTTCCGTATAATTCTCTGGATATCCCTTCTCAGAATGTTCCAAAAGTTTTCGGAACTTCCGTTATGTTCCAAAAGTTTGTTAATGAAATTTCCCTGAAATTCTTGGAATTTACTTTCGTGCCTCAGAACTTCTTTAAAGTTCTTTAAATTTTTGTGACGTTAATGGGGCTACCCATGAAGATCTCTAATCTTTCCTGGAAGATCATGTTCCTGGAATTGCCCTTAAGTTAATGGAACTACCCGAAAGATCTGTAAACTTCCGTGAGATTCTCTAGACTTCCGTGAATTTTCTGGATCTGGATGAATTTTTCATAATTTCCCTTAAACTATCTTTACATTTTGGAACGTTTTAAAGGTTGGTCCTAAAGTTCTCGAAATTTACCCTAAGTTCTCGGAACTTCCTCGATGCTCCCGGAATGTTTCTGATATTCATGGAACTAGTGTTGGTAAAATCAGACATCAATTGATATTTTTCCGCTCTCATGCGCTCGAAATATCATGCGTGATATTAGAACAAAATTTCATACTTGATATTGATTTTACAAGCTCCTTTGATATTGCGAGACTATTCACAACGTGCAAAAATCAAACTGAGAGTTGACTCGACACAAAAATGATTCCATTGCACATCGTTTTCTTAGAAAGAGAAAGCATAGTTGGCTATCTCTTTGTAATCTTCATCGATGACAGACGCGAAGCGACTGCTGCAAGCCGTTATGGAAGTTTCGGTTGCATTCGAGTGTAAAGCAAAAATCATTAAACTCAATCTCACCACAGTTTGGTGAGATTTGCAGTTGGTGAGTTTTGTTAACTTGATATTCCGAGCTGCGATATCACAGCTTGCAAAATCAACCGCAGTTGTTTGCTTGTTGATTTTTGTCTACGAAAATCAAACGTGATCTTGGGCGTTGGTGAGATTTGATTTTTTTGATATTTTCCCAACGCTGATGGAACTGTCCCAAAGCTTTCAGAAGCACCCCACGGTTTATTGAAAAGTTTTCACAGTTTTCCTGAAGTTAATGAAACTTCCCTGAAAGTCGGTGTTCTTCACTTAAGTGAATTTTCCTGAAATTGTTGGGACTTTTCTGAAGCTATCGGAAATTTGAGTGCATGTGTATTAGACTGATGCAAAGTTTGAAATTTTCACTTCACGGTGCTCAAACGGTTCCAAATTGAGTCCTGATAAGCCTCCCAAAAGTTGAACTAATTTATTAACACACTGACTTGGCACAAACGTTATGAAGTTATATGTTATATGGAACTTACCATACACACTTAGAAATGATGACTGACTACGGTCATTTTTGTCGAACTTTCAAAAGCTGAACTGTTGTTGTTTATTTCATGAGTTTTAAGGCTTAAAAAAGAAAACTGCACTACACTGGCAATACTCGATTATTTAAACGAGGCCGACTGTGACAATGAACAAAAAGTTTGATATAGTAGTTTCCATATAAACTTCAAATGGTCTGTGCCAAGTCAGTTTCTTACCAATTAATTTAAATTTTGGAAGGTTAATCAGGACCGAATTTGGAACCGATTGAGCACTATGGAACAAAAATGTCAAATTCTGCTTCAGCCTAATGTGCATATACAAAGCGGCCCAAATAAAACCAAACTATTTGTACTTCATGGGCGCATTAAATTTCATATTTGATGCGCTTACAGATTTCAAGGCACATTTATAAGCAGAATTTTTTTCAAACCTTTGTTTTTGAGTTTGTAATATTTTGATTGAATATGGATTAGTTAAAACATTTCTTGTGTTGTATGTTTGCAGCGCAATTTTGGTTGGAGCACATAGTAATCTAGATGGGTATTCAAAAATTCCTCATGCATGTTGGTGCGTAGTATTTATAAGAGGAGCGCATGTAAATCGATATGTTTACGCCAAGTTTAAATTGATTTAAGAAGATGAAGAATAATAATCGGTTTTTGGAGCTGGTTACCCGTCGTAAGAAAGGCCTGGTTATGCTAATTTATGGCTGCGGACTACAGGTTTGACATGATGTGGAATAAACATATGAAAATGCATGGCAGAAAACAGGATAAAGGGAGGTGGTAAGGTGGATTTAATTTGTTAGAAAAAATTCAGCACAGATATGTTAGCCATCATTACTGAAAATCTCGTGTTTAATTCCATTCTAAAAACTTTGATCTTGCAGTTCACAGAATTCCGTAACAATTCCGCGTTGTCGAATATTCAATCTGTAATCGTATACTCATCGAGGATTCTATAGAATAACCTAACAAGGTATTGACAATACAGAGAAAAAATTGCATAACAATCGAAAACCTCAAGAAATGCCAAGAAATTTTGCTCAAGATACTATTTTTTTTTACCTGAATGACACATGCAACATACATGAAAGATAACTGTTCTGAAAGATTCATAAGGATCTTCCAGCTACATAAAAGGCATTTAAATCTTAAGCCGCATTTGAATTTGGACAATGAATATTTCTTCATAACTTGTAGTCCGGATGCTACACGCTTGATGCTGCTATGTGATTTTAAAAATATCATCACTTCCATTGAGGCATCTATGATTCATGACACATCATGCATCATCATTCGTGATGCCGTCGTTTGTTGACTTTTATCTCCCGTTTGCAAGAAACAAGTTCACATCACTCAAAGTGGTGATTCGGCTCTCGCGTGCGTGCGTGTCATTGAGGAGATTTCGTGTCTGCAAGCAAGCTCCATCAACGAATGTTTCATCAACGCATTGACGTTCCAAATGAGCGATCAGTAAATATTGGACTTGTTACTGACATGAGAAAACTTCAAGGTCTAGGTGCCGGCAAAGACGTCGGAAAGTTTACCCTTTTCTGAAGTTACCCAACTAGGACCTATGGCAAGAAGCAGAGTGATTAATCATCATCACGAACTGATACGTCGTTTCCCAGTCAGTACGATGCGAGTGAACGTGTTTCGGGTTGGGTGATCCATTTTGAATAAGTTGCGAATGTTACTGAAAACTTTCAGAACAGAATCAAATTAAACGCTTGATTCTTGTCCTCCTGCAATTACGTAACAATTACGCAAAAGGCATCACTAGGTAAAACCCTAAATCTAATTTGCTTCTGAGATAAAATTCCTAGAAATTCCCACGCGCAAACCGCACGGAGAACCGCGAGATAAATCGACAAAAACGAGGCATTTTATTTAATTAATCCAAACACTTCCATTTCCAACCGCAAAGACTAAGAGGTACTGAGGCTAATTTTCATTTTCGCACAAGCAATAATAAAAGAAATTGCTTTGCTAGACCAATCCAGCATCTTGTTGGTTGGTGGTCCCGACCCGTCCAGTAGCTGCCAATAGGAAAATCTCATCCAAATGCTCATCATCAGACAAAGATGGACCCTGGCAAACCGCCGCACTCCACAGCAGTCGTGGGGAGGTAATAATTTCTGAATTAGCGTCACCATAATCTTTACGTCTGTTGATCATTTGGAGAATTGGAAGCAGCAGATTCTGTCTGCTTTGGCATCGCGCAGTCGGCAGATTTACGTAGGTACCGACCGTAGATAGAGAGGGAGATAGATCCGCCGCGGAATGCGAGAAAAAATTAATTACTCCCATTTCGTCGTGTCTCACCTTCGCCGGTTCTATTGACTTCTAGAGGTTCAGAATGAGCGCGAACATATGTCGCAAAAGGTTTGCCATTTGTCCTTCCAACAGCAGAAGAACGACGACGACGGTGGTTGTAAGCATTTGAACCTGGACGGTGGTCTTCCCCCCTGTCGAGCGATCCCGTGGGATTTCTGAGGTGAAGACGACGACCGACAGTGCCCCTCCTTTGGCTTTTAGCTCTCGTGTATCATCTAAAATGCTATCTTCGGCAAAGTAATCAGATTCTGCGACGGAGATTACACGTCTATTTGTTTTTGTCGCGCACCTCTTGTTGGGTTCATTACGTCGATCGGTGGCATAAGATTTGCTTTTATTTTGCGCAGTTCCCTCCGATCCGGAATGTGGCGATAATGTTCTAGGATTTCTCTATTGTTGATAAGAATCGTTGAAAGCAAAGTGACCATAGGGATTAACTTGAAGAAAATAGTCGATTTCCAAGATTTACGCTAAGAATCAATTATCCAAACTCAGGCTTTCGACATACCTAAATTTGAGTTCGCTTTGTACTCAAACTTGACATGTCGATATTTTCATGTATCGATCCGTGTATTCTTACTATGATGTTGTTGGCCCTAGAAAGCTCTCACAGAGCCCTTAGAGCTTAAGGGTTCTCATAGGTTGTCGATTGCGAGCTTAACCGTTATGTGATCGACAAAAAGATCATGTTTAGGAGCTCGACAAGGGTACTCGGGTACTCACAAAATTGAAATACTTGCTACTGCGGCCAATTTTGACCGATTTTGAATCTTTTATCACCATTGGATTCAGAAACGTATCCTTTTTCTAAAAATTGCTTACAATGTCCATCCAGAATCGTTTGGTTCCCGCAAATCCGGATTTTCTGTATAATGTTCCAGAACTAAGCATTTTCTTGTTCCTTTCGCTAGAATTTCGAAGGAACCGATTTAAAAGTATCAGAATCTCCTTCAAGAAACAATTTCAGCTCACTTGAGGAACAGTTTTCGATTCATCCCCGGAACGGCCATTCTGGAGCAGGTTTCCGTAGGGCCTCTAGTGGCCATAGAAGAGCTTGGGAAGAAACCCCTACAATATGAGTATCAAAATTTATGACTTTACAGCAGGAGACTGTTTATCATAATTTAGTGATCATCCGATGGAATGTCCCCGAAATGGCCACTCCGGATCAGGCTCCCGTAGGGCTTCTTGAGGCCATAGAAGTGTTTGGGAAGAAACCTCTACAATATGGGTATCAAAATTTATGAATTTACAGCAGTATATTGTTTATCTTAATTTTGCTATCATCCGATGGATTGACCCCTACAATATGGGCATCGTTTATCATAACTTTGTACGTGCTTTAAACGTCAGTAATCTCTATAGGAAGCTTCACCTGATATTCAAATGACGAAAGAATGGCATGTGGCATAGTCTCCTGTTGCAAATTCATGAATTTTGATACCCTTATTGTAAGGGTTTCTTCCCAAGCACTTCTATGGCCAATAGAGACTCTACGGGAACCTGCTCCGCAATGGCCGTTCTGGAGACAATCCGTCATATGACCACAATATAAGGATAAACAGTCTCTTGCTGTAAATTCATTAATTTTGATACCCATATTGTAGGGGTTTCTTCTATGACCACTAGAGGCCCTACGGGAACCTGCTCCAGTATGGTCGCTCCAGGGACAATCCGTCGGATATGCCGGATACCCTGTCGATCACATAACGGTTAAATAACCTAAATAGCTTTCAAGTTAGCCTGTGGTTATATTTGACAGATTAAATGTTATCCTTCGTCAGTTACAACTGACTTCTGTTTGAAAATAGGTCGATCGACAACACTTGAAAAATAAAAAAAAAACTAAGACTAAGAACGGAAAATTTTATTTCCAGGAAAAGTCGGAGAATGTTTGGATTAGCTTCTGAAGGAAGCCGAAAAAACTTCCAGAGAAAGAATAAAGACGCTTTTCTGTAGGAAGTTCGAAGAAAGTTCTAAGAAAGTCGGAAAAACATCCGGGGAACTTCCAAAACAAATACATATAAAGAAACTTCTGGTGATAATTTAATGGAACTTTCGGAAAAAAAATCGGATATCACATCCAGAGGAAGCCAGAAAAGATTCGGAAGCAAATTCCAGGATAAGCCATTTCTACGGTAAGCCAGAAGTTCGTTCAGAAAACCTTCCAATAGAAGGCGAAAAAAAAAAAAAAAAAAACTACGGAGAATGGCTTATGGAGAAACTTCCAGAGAAAGACGAAAGAAACATCTGGGAGAAATCCATAGATACATTCGGAAGAAGTTTAATTGAACTTCCTGGAGAAAAAGGACAAAACTTCCTGGAACCGCTGGAATAAACTTTATAAGGTAGATTGGAAGAATCTTCTGGAGATAATCGGAAGCAAAAGAAACGTCAAGGAAAAGTTGGGAATTCATTCGGAAGAAAGAGATTGCCTGAGGATGTTAGCACAACATTCCCTGAAGATCCTTACATTGACCCCGCAATGTCCCTGAAGTTTTCGGAACATTTTAGAATTGCACTTCGGAATATCCCATGATCCCCCTTAAAAGTTCATGTAATTTTCCTAAAGTTAATGGGGCTGTTTTGTTCTCTGAGCATCCTCGAAGTAGTTGGAACTTCCCTGATTGATAAAAGTCTAGTAGCATTTCACTTGAATGAGTTATTGGTGAATTCTCCCATTTTTTCATCATATTTTGTATGTATATATCTTTCTTAGTTGCAGATGTAGTCAGCTGCATCTGAAATTACAACACAAGAGCATTCAAATGGTGGTAAGTTTGTGTGTCTGCAACCATCTGCTGGAGAGTTGTGTTAATTTCAAATGTCCATATCTTATGACTAGATTTAACGGTTGGAAAAACCAAAATAACTTAAATTTGACGATAGTGGTCAAGTTTATATGGCTAGTCACAATACTCTTCCGAGTGTGGAGGAAAGCCCATTGTAGTGAAGCTCCTTTCAAGCCTCTTCTCCCATAAAGCCCGATTCAAAGTAAATTTGGACGCATTCAAGTGATCATAACTCAATTATTAAACAACATACACGGTTGATCAAAACGTCAAACAAAAGGGTATTTATCCAGCTTTCAAACGATACATAACAAGTTATTACATTTCACCGTTTCGAATGAACTGTCGCCCTTTACTTGTGATCAATGCCATCATGATCTTCACAGTCGCTGGTGACACTGTACCGGTGAACTTATTCCACTTTAAACGCATTTGTTGTGCATTTGTCACTTCTTTACCGCATCCTCGCAGTTTTCGCTTGACAATTGCCCAATAATTTTTGATCGGTCTGAACTCAGGGCAATTCGGAGGATTAATCTCTTTGGCGACGAAATTAACATTGTTTGCAGTATACCATTCTAGTACCTGCTTAGAGTAGTGGCAGCTGGCTAGATCCGGCCAAAACATAACGTTTGTCTTGTGTTGCCGAATGAAGGGTAAAATCCGCTTTTTCGGGCACTCTTTAATGTAAACCTTCGACATCATTGTGTGAGATGTGATGAAAACCTTGGTTTTAAGGCCACAACTGCAGATTCCTTGCCAAATCATTAGTTTCCAAGCAAACTTATCAGCAAAAACAAATTTATACCTGGAAGGGACATCCCCACGACCAGTTGCCAGGTAAAATTTGCGTCCGGGGATTTGTTTATAATCCATTTTGACATATGTTTCGTCATCCATTAAAATACAGCCATCAAATTTCGTCAAAACTCGTTCGTATGGTAGTCGTGCTCGCTTTTTGGCCACTAAATGTTGTTTGAGCGAGCGATTCGGATGTTTACCTGCATAAAAAGACTTATATTCTTCTCTTGAAAGGATGTTATGCACGGTGGAAAAGTTGGAACCGTATTTCTTTGCCAAATCACGTATGGAGACACCTGGGTTGCTTTTCACCTACCTCAACACCTTTCTCCTCAGCTCTTTGTCCCTAGTGCCACTTTTATGATAGATGCGCTGTGCTCTATCCACACTCAGAGTATCCTTGTTACGTTTGATTACAAGACTCACCGTTGACTTTGGGAATTTTAACACTTTTGATATTTTTGAGGCAGACTACGAAGGGTTCTCTAGATGTTTCTGCACAATTAATTTTCTTTTCTCTGGTGTATTAAACCGTGCGTCCAGATTTACTTTGAATCGATGTAGGTAGGTATACAACCTTCAATCTTTTCTAACGTAGATTACAACAGATGTACTTTCCAGTGAGCTGAATTGCTATATGAAGGAAGTGCGACGGTAGCTTATTAATTCAATACTTATAATCTATGACAATGCATAAACAGAGGGGGTGGCGTCTGCGTTGAAATATAGATGAAACAAGCCATGTCCAATACTGGTGACAACGATGAAGAAATAAGTGGTGCAAGCTCTGGAACTATTGATTAACTTCATTAGGGTGCAGTATCTCTAGCTTCGGCCAGACATATACCAATATTCGTAACCTGATAAAGAACTACACACTTACAAATACCTACACGCAAACCAAAAATCTATTACAATGAATGTTAGTTCCGGTTCCTATCATCCTCTGTTCATGAACATCGCAACGAATGTTAGAGATTGACCATGCAAGCGATGTAATGGTTTTTTTGTCTTTTTTATTTCGTGTTCTATCTACGCTTTCGACTATACCAGTAAGCTTGTAGAACGACGAACATTGTAGAATATTGTAGAACGACACACACACTTGCCTCGAATCTCTCCAGCAGAAAAAGCATACGAAGTCGAGTATGCGAGAAAATGAGCGCTTCATGTTTGCTTTTAGGCTATCCATATTCAGGAGCATGGAGAGAGCAGTGGAGAAACACAGGTCTGATAATCGCAACGTTCGTGGTTCGAGTCCAGTCCGGCAAGCTGAGTCCAATTTTTTTCGACATAACTAATTTACCTCACTAATACACTCTACATTTTTCGGTCTCCAATTTTCTTGCATTGGACCGCAGCTAGGTATATCGCATCCTCGGTTCATGCGGTCTCCACTAACATCCTCTGATGATGAATCCCACATAATTGTAATCTTACATCCCCCGGTTAGGTGTAATCTTACACCTGACTGAATCGATCTTTGACATAAAGGATGAGACGTAAACATACATGTCATGTAAAATTAAGTGCTCCGAGACTGAAAAGTTCGAAAGTACGTTTGAT